AAGGAAACCCATTTTAAACATTTTACCTTGTGTGACGTGAGTCCTGTGAAGTCTTGTATTGTATAAGCTGTAAGATTATATTGGTAGTCATGGAAATGATATTATTACAAATCTTGGTCCAGAAGTTGGGGCTGGAGGGGAGCAACAAATCCGTTTCCCATTTAGTCATTGGTAATGTTACTGTTCTATCTGTATTTGACATTAATTAATAAAGTTTTGATATTATCTTCTTTGAGTTTGTAAATTTCATTATCACCTCAGCTAGCATGGAAGGTTGCAGGGGGTTGCTGATTATACTGATCTTTGATTTAATTATGGATTTTTAATGTTGGTACTGGAGAAATTCTCCTCTTCCAACTCTATACTTCTGGACTAATGTATTAAATGGTATAAGCTGGTTGTTTTCAAACAGATGATGAAGGTGAGTGATTCCATTGTGTTGCCGTGTTGGAAAGTAGATGGGATTATTATGAAGTTGAAAGTCAGGGTTATGCCAAATTGGAGTGCATCTGCACAGTGTTAATGAAGATTTAGTGGTTTTGTTTGCTTTTCACCAGGCTGTCAAGAGTTGCAGAGATTGTGATATTTTTGAAATAGTTCATTTTCTTAATTGAGTATGGTGGGAAGGCAAGGTCTGCAACTGAAGTATTTTTGCATTGATTTTGTTCTAGTTCTATCCATGAGCTATTACAACTATCTTTCTGAATCCATTTAATTAAATATTGTAATTGTTTTGCTAATAAATAATACTCTATTATCTACCCTACTAATTTGGTGCTTCTAGGCCACCTTGTGATTTGTTCTTCTGGAGTGTTGACAGGGAAATTTTGGGTTTCTTATTATTCTAGTAAAATTGCGAAGTTAGAGAATCTAGTGATTTGATCTGTTGGTGTTGTAGGAATCATTGAAAACAGGTAGTTAATTTGTGGTAAAGTTTTCATTTTGACTGTAGCAATTCGGCCAATGAGTGACAGTGGCAGGTTGGAGCAGGGTTTGAAATCATCTTCTATCTTTTTTTAGCAGAGGGGTGTAGTTAAGGTTGAAAAGTTCTGACAGTCTAGGGGAAATACAGATGCCTAAATATTTAATGTTGCCAGTGTGAACTGGTAGGGGACAGTCTTGAGCTGCAGAATCCCAGGCATCTTCAGAGAGTGGCAATATGGTAGATTTATTCCAGTTTACTGTGTAGTTAGAAATCCTGGAGAATGTAATAATAATGGAGAAAATTTGTCATAGTGAACTGTAGGGGTCCTGTAGATATAATAGTAAATCATCTACACAGAGGCTAATTTTATGGTGTGAGTTGGTATCTTGTATTCCTTTGATGCTATTATTCTTTCGTATTGATGCTGCTAGAGGTTCAATGAAAATGGCGAATAGAGATGGTGAGAGTGGGCATCCTTGTCTAGTTCCCCGGTGAAGTGTGGAACTTTGTGAGATTATCCCATTTGTGATTATTGTCGCACTTGGATCAAGGTCAAAGTGTTTATTTGTCATATGCACAGTTAGGAAATGTGTTTCCCTGTACAATGAAATTCTTACTTTGCCGTCCACATGAATGCCACAAAATACAAATGAAATATAAAGTAGATAAATAAGTAACACAAACTTTAAGACACTTTAAGCAGCAAATGCAGCAATGTAATATAAATATATGAGAATATAATAAGAGAATGTATGCTGCATGGGAGCAGCATGTGCAG